CCGAGCCGGCAGCCTTGGGGACGTGCCCCCAGCTCTGCTCGGGGAGCGGAGGTGAGAAACGGGCGCTAACTTCGCTAGAGTTGGTGGACAACGGTCCCTACCTCCGTGAGGTCTCCTCCTGCCCCTACACGGCCCCCACCGTGCGGCGCAGCCAGCCCCCCTTTCGGCATGTCGGCAGTCCTGTCGTTGATTTCTGAACAAATTCAGCGTTCTTTGGATGAGCATCTATCGCTGATCCAGCCAGGGCTCTGACACTCTCTGTGTAAAGCAAGAGACATTCCTGCCTACGGAGTGGAGGCAGGATTGCAAGAGCCGTGTGCGTACAGAAAAGGAATGAATACATTATAATGAAAACCTCCCTTCACGTTTTCCTTAGAAACTTTCGGGGGAGTAGAGTATGGAAAACATTAAACATCCTCCCTCGCCTCCCAAAATCTTTCACAGCTTCCCCAACCCCAAAGCAAAATGAAGGGACGAAAGGCTGATCTTTAGATAATGTCACAAATGTTTGTTCTTGCTGCTTAAAACCTGCTAGGAAAGTGCATTGCTGGGATACCCAAAAGTGCCTGAACAAGTAAGTCTATTGCATACTCAGTCCATTAATTAGAACGAACGTCTTTCCCCTAGCTAAAAATTAATTACCATCTTAAAATGTCATTAATCATCGGCGCAGCAGAAACTTGGTTGTAAATTTGGACTGAGCTAATAACAGACAGAGTAAAACCTATGGTTTTTATAGCTGGTGGGAGTGAAGTGCAAGTGGGCTGCAATGGGTTTTTAAACATCAACATTCATTTAAATACTTTGGCGAACCTTTAAAAAGGGGGGGACTGTGTTACTGCTTTGTCAGCAAAGCTGTGATACTTGTTTCTAGAGATCTGGAGAGGTTGGTCAGGTGTTGCGGCAAGATATGGCTCTCCCCACACTAGATTGCAAGAGCAGGAGGGCTGTGGTGGCATGTGAATCTGAAGCGCTTGCAAGGATTTACTGAAAAATGTCCGAGAAACAAAGCTTTGTGGACCATATGTTATACGCATACAAGATTTATATCAGTTGTTGTTGAGAGAGGACAAAACAGTAGATTAAGTGGTATAAAAATCTTCTCATCAGTTCTTAGAGACACAGGTACGACCTGAAAATGAAAGCCATTTCCTTTTTAAAGTAATATGGTAAAACTATATATCCCAGTAGGTGGCAGCTAGCTGTAACTGGGTTAACTTTTATTATGATAACAGCACATGAAAATGCAATCTGAAGGAACAAGTGTCTGATGTGAGGTAAAGGGAACCACATATCTCCCCTTTCCAAATGAAATATTATGTGCGTAAGACCACCATTTATACTTGACACTTACCTGAAGAGTTTGTTAGTCTTTTATCACCCAGGGAAGATTTAAAGGCCTCAGATCGTCTGTTCTCCTTTCCTCACCTATAGCTGGAATACTATTTTTCATATCAGCTTCACCTGAACATTGTTCTTGTGTATCAAAGATGTGTTGACCAAAATGTTAACCAAATTGAAACATATACCCAAAGAACTGTAGTTTTCCCAGCTGCTGATCACCGAGGTGTGAAGAGCAGTTTCATGAAGACTTTAATCTGAAAAGAACAGTGTAATGGTGGTGACAAGCCTCTAAAACACAAGACCAGCTTCTCCAGTACAACATTTTATTAGGGATTTCCAGCCTTTGAACTGTATGACTCACAGAAGAGGAAATATGAAAGGTGTTAAGAACATTTACCTTCTTTCATAGTGAAATCATTCCGGAGGGTGGACAAAAGTATATTTTCAAAGGTTACCCTTCCTTTTCCCTCCCTCCCCTGAAGGAGAAGTGAAGCTAGAGACCAATTAACAGAAAAAGAGGCTAGGGTGGTGAAAGGAGGCTTTAGTTAGTTGTGTAGTCTATAAGTGGTCTTCACTGACTGAATAGTGAGTTCAAAATATCTGATGTTGTGCAAGATTTAGTTTTTAGTAAGGAACTAATATACTTGAGAAAATAATTCTGGGTTAACTCTGATTTACCTTCAAGGTGCGAGCTAGGGCTCGAAAGAAGGGAGGAGAGGGATGTTAGTACAGCGCGTTCGGTGATGTGTGATGGCAGATACGGCGGAGAGCGGTACTCCTCCTGAACCCATAAAATGCCACAAAATAGCTGGCCAGCTAGCATAATCGAGGGTATGGTACGTGCCTTTAAAGCAGCCGATAACAGGCTTTAATTTCCTCTCCGCGCTGAGTCTTCGGCGTGGGACCAGGGGCTGCCTTGTGGGCTGCTGCCTGTTGAAAGTAGAAGGAATCAATTGCAAGTTCTTTTATGATTCCAGTTATTGTTAGGAGCTCTCTCGGGCTTAGATTACAGGTAGCTGTATTTTTTTTTTCAAGAGACTTTAGAAAATCAGACTGGTAGCAGGAGCCACTTTGCCGGAAGTTTATGTCTTGTCTAATGTGCTAAAGCAGACAATTAATATTATATTTGCAAAACTGTTTACCAAAACTGAATTAAATTAGGGAAAAAAAAAGAGAGGAATTTAGACAGGAAGCTGTATCTGAGCATTCATAATTAAAAAAGTATCTAAAGATGCCTAGTGTCCTTTATTTCAGCAACACCAGGGGAAAGAGGAGGGAGGAAGAGAACGCTCACAGAGTTGACGTGGGTTGGTTATATTTCTACTTGGGCTAAGATAAAATATGAACGAGTAGAACAGAATAAATGAAATAGCAAATACAAGAAAGACCATCTCTGTGCATTTTTCCTGGGAGATATTCTAAGCATGAACTGAAGGAGTCGCTAGATATCCTTGCTTTCAACACTAGGTGTTCTTTTTAAAGTGCTCCAGTAGTCAAAGCGTCTGATTGAATTCCCTGCTAGACTGCAGAACTAGCCATTCATGATACTTATTTTTGACACTGCAGTTATGCCTCCATCTTAAAGAAAAAAAAATCAATGATGTTTAATAATCCCCTCTCAGAATGTACATTTCCTTTCATCAGCATTTTACAATGTTTTAAGTAAATGCGTGCAGAGGAAATCAGTAAGCCAGAATGATAAAAAGTTACTGTGAATTGCTAATACTTTTAGGGATACAGAGCACCAACATTATCGGTTATAATCTAAATGCTGCTGTTACTTATTTACATGTCCAGAATACACAGATGTTATTTAGGAATAAGCTGTAACTTACCTCTGCCATGCTCTACTTCTGATAGATTCCATAGAGTGCTCTCGTTAGCTCAGCATCGGAGGTATTTATTTGTGTAAAGTCAGGTTTATTCTGCATTCATCTGCCTATATCTGTGGGGGAAGTCTCTCAGTGATATTTTCTCTAGTAATAAAGGCAGGGAGGGAGACAAAGGAGACAAAAGATGACTGTAGGCAGAATGTAGAATAAAATGAATTCATTTTCCTGGTGGGAAATCTGGGAATTATCTTTTAATATTTGTAATAAAGCTTAAGTAGGTTCAGCAAAATCTTCACTTAGATTGAAAATTCTGACAGTCCTGGTTCAACGTATGTTAATGGATACAGGCACACAGCTAATTGTATTTCCAAAGAAAATCTGAAGTAGTCCACAGAGTGAGTTTATCTTCTTTGTAACACCTGGCCAAAAGACAAAATTCTGTGGCTGCGTTTGCAGATACAAACTGAGTATCCCAGTATCAAACTGGGAAGTGTTATTGTTCTCACTGAGGACTGCACAATGACAAACTACACAGATCTCTGAACACAGGGAGGAACAGCAATATTTCCATAACACTGAAGTGAAAGGAAAGCAGAGTGCAAAATAAGACAGCGGCAGAATAAAGTGCAAAACATAAACTAGTAAATCCTCAAGTTACTGTCTTTTAAGCAACACTGCAATTGCAAGCAAGTTGAGCGAAACAGGGCTATGCATTCAACAAGGCTGTTCCAGCACTGCCGGTTCCTGTTTGCCTTGCAAAAGCAGGCTGGTGCTCCGTAATCACCGGGTCCGGAGCAAGTTCCTAAGGACAGGAAGCCCATCGCATTTACCCTATTTCGTGCATTAACATGAGCAACAGTTAGTGAATGTAAATATCATGATCCTTTTTTTTGTTTGTTTTTAGTCTAAACGTTACTCTGATAACCTGCATGACTTTATTGTCAGCCTTCTCTTTCACAACTCTAAAGCTAAGTGATTTCGCCCCAGGCAGTCAGCTATTAAAATGCACGAATTGATTTTTACACAAGCGATTCTCTTCTCCCTTATAGCTCCCTCCCCTCCCCCGCTACAGACCCTTATAGCTATTGTTCAGAATAACTGAAATACTAATAACAATTAGAAGCATGTAAATAAAACCGAGCTTTTCCCCCCGCCCCCCCTCCAACAGCGCCAGGCGATCAGATCGGTTGCATAATAGAAATTGGGAAGGCTGCCTGGCAGGCAGCCTTAAGAAGAGAAGAGCTGTCTCAATTTCTCTCACTTAATCTTGGCTTCGCGTCAGAAGCTGTGCAGCAGTGCAGTAGAATGGGAGCACGGTAAAAGCTTCCCCAGTGAAGCGGCTGGTGCTCAGGGACTCTCGCTGTGTGGCGATACCTCAGCGGTTCCTCGAGCTGGATTACCTATTGATTTTCGTCCTTTCTTGCCTCCCAGGTTTACCCGGCTGGACATTGTGTGTTTGGATTTCTCAAGGATTCTCCCCCGACTGACATGGATGTCCCACCATTCCTTGCAGTTGAAGGTTGCTCCTTGGCGCAGTGAATGAAGAACATGCAGGGATTGCTAATGGGTTTGGGAAGCGTAGACTCTCTCGTCTCTCTGTGACCATGCCGTGATCGTGTCTGAGGGCCATCAGTTGACGTATCCTCATTCTCACCCTACCGGGAAACCTGACGGCTTAGGAGGGGGAAGTAAGGCAGCGCGTGTGTGCGTAGAAACATCATGAAGATTATTTCCCCTATTCTAACTAATCCAGTCTTCAGATGCACCGTTAGACTCCTTCTTTGCTTACTGTGGATTGGATATTCTCAAGGAACCACACATGTATTAAGATTTGGTAAGATTTTCCGACACTTTTTTTTCGTTGCGTGTTGAAGCCTGAAATGCGATGCGCGTAGGATTGACTCAGAAGGGGGTGCTGGGGGAGGGCTGGGACGTGCTGCCGGCATCAAGCACCCAAGTCCCTCTGTGTTCTGCATCCGGAGGGATGAATTGCTGTGTGTTTTTTCTGTCCCTGCAGCTCATTGTATCCCTAGTAACGGCATGATGATGATCATAATTATAATAACAATAGAGAGAAAAACGACTGGCAAATGCGTTTGCCTAAGGCTCTGCGCCGCTTGTGCGGCTTCCTCGCAATGTACCTTTTTTGTTTCCGCAGTAGTGCAAAGCATGGCTAATACGGTGCTCGATCCGTTAAAAATCTGCCAACTAGTTGTTAAGTTTCGGCCGCCCGCCTCTGGTCCGCCCGAGCCGATCCCGTGTGGGCGCGACGCTGGGGTTTGAGACCTTTGGGCTGATTTCCCCTGAAGCGGCTGCCTAGTTGCTTCCCACTTCAGTGGCGCTTAGGGTTAGAGAAGAAATGATTTAGGTCTTGAGCAGTGCTCCTGAAAGAGCCTTTGCAATACCTTGCAAAACCACAGGTTTCCTGTGAGAGGAAAGTTGTATGACTTCCCACATCCCCTCCTCCCCCCCGGAAAAAAAAAAAAAGAAAAAAAAAAAAAAGGGAAAAGTAAAAAACCAAAAAGAAAATTA